AATTAAATCTAGATAATAACGTTTACTTTATAGAAAAAACTCGCAGGAATAATTTTAATTATAAATTTTTCTGGTCAGAATGTATTTTTGACAGCAGTACCCTCTAAACTATAAGCAGAAGTTGTAAAGAGTTCTCTATCATAAATAAACTGTTTACTACGGGTATTCTAGAATAAACAATAAATTAAATTATACATATTTCATAAACAGAGTAAATAAACCTGATTTATATTTTCTCTTGAAAAATTCATTAGAATCAAGTATATTCTAAATGATGTATATTTTCTTGCATGAGTTAATACAATTGTTTCTTACAAATATAATCAATTAAATTATAATATATGCACTATTATAATTAAACAGCATATAAAAATTTATATATTTTTAAATTTTAATAAAAAAAAAGTGTCATAAGTTTTAACAAGTTTCCAGAAATATTTAAATAAGAAGACTTTCTTTCATACTTATTTTTTTATAAATAAGCTATGCACTGCAAGGTATTCTCAATCCATTTTTGCTAGTCGATTTTTTTTTTCAAAATTTGATTTAATTCTAATTTATGGTTAATAAAAATACTTTTATTAAACATAAATTTGAAGTTTAAAATTATGTACTTTAATTTAATAAAATTTAAAGATATATCAATTATTATTACTTTTCGAACTTCCTATAATGGCCACCTCTAAACGGCGGCTATTTATTTCATGAACGTTGAACAAAAATGCATATAAAATAACCTTCAAACAGCGGTCATTTTTAAGTTTAAATCAGTATTCTTTATTCAGATGTTTGACCATTATATATTGATATTTTATTTATGTCTTAATAAAATAAAAAATAAATCTGTCAATTGACCCCAAACGACCACTAGTAATTTATCGAAGCCCAGATAAATTAATTGACCCCTGGGAGGTCGATAGCGACTGTATTAGAAACCCTTGCGCTACACAATTTACTTGTAATATAATAAACAACATTATAAAAACTAATAATAAAAATAATATTAGAGTAAAAAAAACATAATTTAATGTAGTCTTAATACAATAAACAATTTTTTAGATTATTTAAGATAAAATTTTGATTTTTTTTAATTAAATATTTTAAAAGAAAGTTAATTCTCAGATGTTAAATGGAAAACAATCCCAGCAGAAGTTTACACATGAACACCATTTTACGTTATTTAAATATCCAGTTAGGCTACACCGCTAGTTACTGGCGAATTACTTTGACTTGTGGTCTGATTAATGGGTTCGCTTTCAGTAATAAATACACAGAAACGTGACGGGTTACATCCTTATTGGATGCCATAAATCACATGACTCGCCAATGATAAATAATGGAGATAGTTGGTAGGTAATTGGGTGAAACAGTACGCTGGTGTCACGACATTCTTACACTGATGTAAGAATATGCTCGTGTTTATCGATCGTTAATTAATAGATGCTGAATTTATAATAAAGTTTTCGTGCGTTATTTTAGAACGTAACTATTAAAATCCCGATAAAAGTGAAAAATTACATCATACATCTGAATAAATGTGTCTGATAACCATTAATGATTTGCACGTAACAATTCCTGATGCGGTTTGGATTTTTTGAAAAAGGGGAAAAAAAGGCGAATGAATCAGCAAAAATTAAAATTTATAACTTGAATAATGTTTTAAAAAAATTCTTAAACGTAATCATAGGTTTAAAGAAGTAGTAAAATTTTATAATTTTCCATTAGTGATTGCATCTTTAATGCGGTTTAAAGCGTGTTTAATTTAACGGTGTAAGAATGACAGGTAATTAATAAATTTATCTTATGATTAATTTTACAATATCCTAACTCTCTAGCATAAAAGATTGTCAGTAATTATGATTGATAAGGCATTTTACATGATTTGTAAAATATGAAAACTGTTGAATTAGTAGACAAGAAATAAAAATGTTTGTCTTGGATTTTTTTTTTCTTGAAGTAGCTCATTTATTTGTAATCTTGATAAATTTTGTTTAATTATTTATATAAAAAAATAAATAAATAAACTTTTAAATACCGTAATTCTCCATTTTTAAAACAATTGATTGTTAAGAAAGTTTAATTGAAATCTTTTAGAATTTACTAAAAAAAGCGAAAAAAATAAAAGAAAATGACTGTACTTTAAACAGCAGAAGTCACCAAAAACAAAAAAAAACAAAGAAAAAGAGGAATAAGAAACAAAGAATTTTTTGCTTGCAGTCCAGGTAACGAGAGAACTTTCCTTGATTAAAGTAGCGCCCTTTGGGACCTGGAGGGAAATTTTCAGACCCTGTATTTTTTTAAAGAAAAAGTTGACTTAAAGTTTAAAAAAAATTATTCAGATTTATTCTATGAGATTGCTTTCGAGATCTACTTAAAATAGAGAATAAAAAGCATAAAATTATAAAATTGAACGTACTTTACATGGTAGTTTTTATAAGATATACGACTCATTGATTTTTAATAATTTATATTATGTTATTAGATATCTTCTTATTATACACTTATTATTACGTTCTAAAATTATAATATATGAAATCATAATTTAAAAAATATCTTATACGCCAAATCGGAAAATAAAAATGAGCTGATGAAATATGGAAGCGAGTTGAACAAAGAGCAGAAGCGAAAGCTCCTTCCACCACCCAAACCTTGTCTTCCACTAACAAACCGTTTGTCTTCCTTGTGCTCATTAAATGTGATAGATGAGACACTGCAGGATTAACTGGCATTCAGTGCGCCAGAACAAAACCAAACGCAGGAGATTCGTGTTTGTCCTCAAAGTTGCTTTTTTACCTTATTTTTTCAACTCGAAAACCATTCTTTTTATCTTAACTTATATAATATAAACGTATTAAAACGTACAATTATATAATATATAATTTTTATACAATATTATTTGTAATATATTATAAAAAAAATTATTCTATTTTTTTCGAAATGAATTCTGTTTCATTTTTCTTTCAATTTAAAACGTATTACATATAAATTTTTTTTTATTAATTGGGCTGCAATTTTCATACTGAAGAGTTATACATTTCCTCTGTCGTCTGTGTGTCTGTACGTTATTCGTTAATTAATCTCGAGAAGAGAGATAGATAGATGAAAATCGAGACCAGACGTGAAAACTTAGGAGACCAGAGGATCAATTAATTAACTATATACGAACTTTCCTGAAAAAATTTCGAATGCTCAACTTTAAGCTCAATATGTGCGGAATATAATATTAAAAGTATAGAAAATATGTTTATAATCAAGTATAAAATGTTATATTAAAACTATTAAACAAATTATTAAATAAATTATTTATTTATACAAATATATATATATATATATCTTACTTTCATACCATAATTAAAATTAATAATAAATTAGTTCTTAAAATTAAATTAAGAAAAATTCACGTAAACAAAGTGTAAAATAGCGCGTTTACACTTGAATATTTTAGTTAATCTGGAATCAAAAGTAATCTTATTAAACGTATATATTGATATATTAAATACTTTATAAGAAGCAATATTGCATTGGCTCTAGTTCTTAATCGCTTCTTTAAATTCCAGACATTAACTGCAGGAGAAAAAAGCAAGAAAAGTGATTTATTGAAGTTAAAACATTCACGAAATACGGAAATAAAAAAGGGCATTTGCTGGAGGAATAAAGATACTATAAATAGAGTTATATTTTTAGAAAAGGAAACATGTAATTTTTAAAATTTCAGTACTTGGACAATGATTAGCTACACAATATCTGCAGAAGTTTTTTTTATTTTTATTTTTTTTTTTGCGATGTCTTTCATTGTCATCCCTCGGGAAATATGGGAAAATTGAAAGAAGATAAAAACGAACGAAATCTGAATCAATCTGTTCTGTGTTCAAGAATCACGCTACGATTCTGATTTTATTTATCTTCAATTTTTCTTTAGGAAGACCACTTTTCTTTCGTGTTATTTCCGAATGATGAGACTTCCTTTCTAATCTTCTTTTCTTTAGTTTAAAAAATAAAATACAATATATATTGTGTACATTGTGTATTCATCTGCGAATTTTAATTAAACTCTAATAAAATAAGATCAATATCAATCACGATATTCCATGTCATCTATAATATGCTTGAAAGAAAACAAATATAACCGAAAGATATATATATATTATAAAACATTGTCTTCTTTTTTTTTTGTCATTTTTACACGCTTTATTAATTTCCAAATTTTATAAATAATACTTTGATGAAATATTATTGTTTATTGTAAAACACTTCAAAGAAAGATTATTTTTTATGTTAAAAAATATGGAAGAATAAAGATAATTTAAAAGAATTTAATAACTAACATATTCTCTCCTTTTGCAGGTATGAATCTTTTTAGTTGTTTGTATTCACAGCTTGTTTACTTCGTTGCAACGCACTGTTGCATTTCATACACTATTCATATTCAACATAAGCTTTTGTTATATACATATATACTTAGAAATATGTAAATAAATTGTTAAGTAATTCAAGACAAGTAAAATGCTTATTTATTACGTGATAAACTTTTCGTTTTACTTTTAATTCAGAATGTATACTGTTAATTACATTTACTTTTAAATAATAATAATAAAAAAAATAAGCCAATTACTTAGTGCTGCCATCTGTCGTTCTATTTTTCGAATTGTGAAAAAATTATTATGTAAAAAAAAATATTTGAAATAATATCATAATTATTAATTATAAAAAAATATATTCTGAGTTTTTAAAATATTTTTTTAAAATAATGCTATTCGTTATAACTTTTATTCATAAAATATTATTAAATTATAATAAAATTAAGTTTTAGAAACATTAAATTTAACTTAATAAAATAAACATACTTATTATATTAAATTCATATGAAGTAGCATTTATAAGTTGCTACTATCTCGCCACTTATAAATTCATAACGACGTCAAATTCTTATCTTGTTGCAGAGATAAATTTTACTGATATTGTCGCTAGCAAACAAACGTAAAGGGAGATAATACTGGCATAATTATTTCATTATTTGCCTAAACCAAAATAACAACGAAAATGGATAGCAGATGGAAATCCTACACTCATCAGAAAGATGAAGAAGAAGAACTACGTTCGTTACCTTTGATGCCAATTTTTTATTCAGTGCCTAGCGAAGGGGGAGAAGGAGACGTATGGCATTTAACTAGTGCTGTAGTCAGTAGAAGTATGTATAACTTTAAGCAATAAAATTTAATTAAAGTATATTTTTATGCATTCGAAGAAAACTCTGATTATTAATTTATTATTATGATATCACGTATTTTAAATCGTGTGTAATTAAAATAATTATTTCTATGTTGTAAAATAGTTTATATTATACTTTTAATTAAGTTAAATATTAAACAAAATTTCGGTAATTAGTTATATAAGAGACACGCGATGACCAATCGGTATGGGGTATCGATACAATATAAAAGAGCCATTAAAACAGGTTGCTGGAGTTAAATTAAATTAAATCAGAAAATATTTAATGGTTAATAAATAGGACACGACTTCATAACAGAATACACTTGTGATATGATCTTTAAACCTTTCTACCAGTTTGTTTGATTAGCCTATCTGCTTTTATAGTGCCGCCAATAAACGATAAGTTAATGTTTCTTCTTCGTCATTAAATATTGTACCACTTCATTGATAATTGTCAAACGAATATTTTTATAAATTATATTTAATTAATTCTACGAAAATATGTTTTAAAATATTTTTGTTTATTAATACAAAATTATTAGATGGTAATTAATACTTTGAAAAATAAATTGGGCAGAAATTTGATAAATATATTACAGAATAATTATTTATTTATGAAATATCCTTTAGACTTTTATAAATAAAATTTTCAGATTACTTTTTAAAAGTAATAGAAAAGTAAGTTGTGCTATACTCTATTTTATTATATAGGCCTATATGTAATAATATAGAGTATATAAGTTATTTCTTATATATATATATATTTAGATAAAGCCTATACTATATTTATTTATTTATTTTTAACAATTGTAAATTTTTTATACATATATATTCTTTATTTTTTAGACAGACAAGGCGATCTTAGTACAATCGCTAGCTCAGACGATTTGACCTCTCTAGAAACTGCTTCACAAAACACAGATACAGGAACAGTAAGATCAGGGAGATCTTCTTTTAGTAGTACAGGATCCTTAGATTCGGTTGCCCAATCATCACAGCCTACTACACCACAAGAGTCTCCAGTTTCTACTCCAGTTCCGAGGAGAAAAGTTCGAACTGCTTTAAAATTGAACATTGCAGATTCGACATGGAGAAGAAGTCGAGAGAGGAGATCGTCTAAACGCAGTCGTATGAAACAAAATTTGCATGCACGAGTAAGATTTTTTTTCCTTCTTTTTTTTGCTGCTATACTGTTGATAAATTTAAAGATTTCCTTCACAATTTTTTTTTTATTTAGAGTACCCGAGTAATCGCCGTTGTACAGAAAAGCAAAAAACCTGAATTTAGATTCAAGGTTGTGTTGTTAGCATTATTCTGCTGTATTGTGGTATTAGTGGCTTACGGTCGTCACGAATATGAAAAAAGAAAGCGTCAATTAGTAATGAAAAATATAAAATTCCACGAATTAGATAAAAAATTTAGTTTACTCAAAAACGAAAAAGTTATAATTGAAAGTAGTTTGGGTACCGAAATACCAAATGATTTACATCCTTATAACTGTAAAAAAACTTATGATTCTGCAATATGTCTGGAATGGATGTATAGAGCTCGATTGAGAATTAAAAAGATACACGATGACGTAAATATAACTTGTTACGATTTCCATTGGGATAGTTTAAACCCGGAAACAAAGCTTAAAGACTGTATAGACATGAGCCAATCTAATTGGTATGGAATAGGTAATACAAAAAAGATAACATGGCCACTAATTGGATTTTCGGGAGAATCTAAACCATTTGTAACTGGAGACGCTGTTAAAGGAAGTTTTGGTTCTGTGCTGCAAAGATATTGGTTATCATCAAAGGGAGTTGCTATAAGAACACAACCAGATATACCTTTATATGTCAGCATTAACAATAGCGGCAATGAAAATTTATGTCTGGAAGCTAAATATGATGGCTTTCCATATTACCACCGAGATGGTGCCTTACCTCAACTTCATTATATGATTTGTGTTGCACCATCAATAAATCTAGTACATCAAGGTATATTGAAGAAATATTACAAATTTCCCGAAAATACGACTAATATGGAAACATATATCAATAACACTATATGGTTTCCTTCACCGAAACTTGGTGTGCCACTTAGTCACGAATCTATTATAAAGTATGCCAGTAAGAATTTAGAGCATTTTCAAGAATTTATAAATAATTTTATGTTAATTGATATTAAGTGGCAAGCTAAATATGGCGATTTGGCTTTCAAAGAAAGTTTTGGTGAATTACATGCATTTTTCACTCTTCTTCACATGAAAACGTTTAAAGTTCTTTTATCAATTCATCCATATATCTGTTTAGAATCATCCTCATTTATTCGTTGGTCTGATGAGCAATATTTTATTTCTGATTCTCAAAATCGAGCTCCTCTCCTTACACGTTGGCAAAATAAATTATGTGCCATCATAGATTTTACCAAAGATTCATCGGCTAAGTGGTTTTTAACCCGTCTAGAGAAGCTAAAATCAAATTATGGTATCACTGGATTTTTCTTTACTGGTGGACTAACATCATTTCATCCTAGAAATTACAAGTTTCATCAATTTTTTGTTAATCCAGATCACTTTATCCACAGATATTTAAATCATGCAAAAGAAATTAGCCAAATAATGGGAACTGATATCGGTTTTGAAACCGAAAATATTCCAGCATATATTTCTCTGTTACCACGTACTTGTACTTGGGATTCGCATACAGGACTACGGTCCATCATTCCTTCTGTTTTAACTTTAAGTTTAATGGGATATTCGGTCATTAATCCTGGTTCTATTGGTGGTGATATTCCCATTGGAACTAATGGCACATGCTTGGATAGAGAATTATATTTAAGATGGATGCAACTAGCAATTTTTATGCCCGTGGTTCAATTTTCGATCCATCCGGCAGATTTCGACGAAGTAGTAGTTAAAATTGCAAAAACACTGTTACAAAAAAGAAAAGACGAAGTTCTTCCTGTAATGAAAAATGCATTAAAGGAATCTTTAGCTACTGGAGTGCCTTTAATCCGTCCACTTTGGTGGTTGGCTCCACACGATTATAACGCGCATCGTATCGATTCCGAATTTGTAATCGGAGATAAAATAATTGTTGCACCAATTTTAGAAGCTGCTAAAACTATTAGAGACGTTTATCTTCCTCCAGGTATGTGGCAAGATAACTGTGGACGAATACAAAGAGGAGGCAAATGGATGCATAATTATATAGCCGATTTGCAAGAAGTCCCTTACTTTATAAAGCAATAAACGCAAAAACTGCTGCTTTTATGAATAATAAGTACTTACTTTGTAACAGGGTACTATAAAAATATTAGTAATCGATTTATTTTCATTTTAAGGCAATACTAAATATATATATATATATATAACTGTACTTATGATCAGAAAGTATTTATTATATGAAGTAAGGAATGAATAAATTCCTTCTTGAATAACAAAATTTTACTTTATCAAAGCAAAAAGGTGTTCAAAAGACAAATACAGTATAAATATTGTTTAAAATTTGTAGATTATAATTTTTTAGTAAATATAAAAAAATATTTCAAAATAATCCTCTTTATGATTACTACAGTGACATTTAATATAATTGAAAGTTATAATTCAAAGACTTTATATAAAGTTAATTAAACCTTCAAAAAATTGCGAATAAAGGTTCTCATTAACACCCATTATCCATCGTTAATTACTATTTAGCAAGGATTTATAAAAGACGTTGCCAATGAACCAAAAGCAGATATCAATTGACCTTATAGGTGATGCTGTTAATTATATCTTTGCCTATCATTAGATTTTAATGAGATTATTTATTCCGTCATCTGAATTGTGTGACCTGAAACCCAATGATTGTTAATTAATGGTTGTAAGTATATCAATGGCATTGACGTTTACATTTTCAAATTAATCAGAAGCATTTCTATTAATCAAATTTGAATTTATTTTATCGAATTTTAATCTGATCCATATATTTTAACAAAGCGTTGACTATCTATTAATGTCATTAACTACCATTATTCAGATCTTAACGATACAATAATCTATGCTAAGAATAAATATAAAGCACATATAAAAAAAATCCATTTAACGAGTATAAAAATAAGTCTATGCTGTTTTATTTCTTTAAAAAATTGTCTAATATTTTGTTTATTTTCCTTACTTTTTATAAGAGAATTTACTATTGCTAAAAAAAATTCAAAGTTCTCGGTATTAAAGAATCGATAATAATAAAGAATTCGATCGATACAAATGAGTATATGAGAAAAAGAATATCAGAACAAATAAAAATAAGGCTTTGACTTTCTACAAAAACCAGAAAAAACTTTAGACTTGCTACAAGAAGACTAACATCAACATCATTAATAAGCTGATTTTATTGAATAATCTTTATGTAAAAGTTAAAAAAAAAAAAAAAAAAAAAACAGAAAACATAAATATAAATGATCTTCTCATTTTTTATAATATAAAGTACTATATAGAATAAAACAGAACAATTTTTAAAAAGCTTTATATTAAAAATCTTTATAAAATGTGTACACAAAGGTGAATACATTTATAAATCTGAACGTGTAATTCTGAATAAATATAAAACTTTCGTTTAATTTAAAGTTAAAAATAAAATAAAATAAAATAATATATATTTATAAATATACAAAAATTTAATTTGTTTTCAATAATAAAAAAATCTAAAAATTTAAATTGGGTTACATTAGAATAAAATTTATTCTTGTTTGAACCACCAGATGACAGCACATAACGTATAATATATCCTTTGTTAAAGTGTATATATTTTATTAAATTTAGTGAATATTAGAAAAAGTATTTATTATTATAGAAAAGAAATAAATCATATTTAAATAATAAAATATTTTGTGAAGTTTATTTGTGATTTTTCTATATAATATAGAGTTTGGCCTTCAAAATTCTCGATAGATAATCACAAAATCGATCCAGTCATTGGGTATTACATAGATGAAGCGATAAGTAATTTCAAGACATCGATAAAGGTAATGTTTTCTTTATAAATTTACTTATTACTAATGATGATAGTGTTATTCGTTTATAATACAATCCTCATTTGACTCATTTTCGACTAAATAATGTTTTAAATACCTATTCTAACCGGTTTAACGTATAACCCAAAAGATGGCCATAACGTGGACAAAGTGGAAGGACTTTATAACGTTTGACAAAATGTTTTATAACGAATGTAAATGAATGAACTTTAACCTTAAAAGCGTTACCTACATTATAATTCCTAGTTCAAGTCAAAACAATTGGTCTTTGAATAATTTATTCTTTTTCTCTTTTTCCCTTAACCTACAGTTTCTACATGTTATTTGGTAAAGAAAATTCTTTAGATTCACTCTGTTATTGTAATGAAAGAATAACGGGTTAAACACGATCTTATTATTATAAGATTTCTAATAATAACATTATTCTTTTCGTCTATAACAATTTAACATTTTAAAATAAAGCTATAGTCTTGGACTTCACTACTGTATCATCATTTGAATTTGGCTGTGAATCATCTATTATATAATTTTCATATGTTACATAAATGTTTAACATAGAAAACATGACATAATAATTAGCTTAAATGTTTATAAATTTAAAACATATGATATTTATATAATCATTTTATACTCTTAAATAAGGTTTAATTTTCTAACTAACGCAATATTGAAGCAATAATGGCATCTATAGTGAATTAAAGTTAATTATTCCACCAGAAAATGTATTTATCGATAAAAGAGTAAAATAATAATAATAATTTCAATTGAATTAGTTAAATATTGCTATCTTAATTTTATTTTACTAGGGAAAAGAATTATATAGATATGAATTTATATTACAATGTTTATGTTCAGAAAAAATAAATTATTTATTAATTTATTTAATAATAATATTCGTACAGGATCCTTTGGCTAGATACATCCGTACAAAATTGCAGAAATAAAATATATAAACAAATATTAACTTGTAACATATATAATGATAGAGCTTAATTAAACAGTACAACAAATGTAAGATGAATATGATATCAAAGAAAATAATTCATAATGTCGGCCGTTGTAATGGAAAAATGTACTAAAAGTATCGTTTTTCCTACTTTATTATATCAAAAAACTGATGTAAGCAGTGGCGCATTATAGCTTCACGGGGCCCAGGCGAATTAGAATTAAGGGCCCCGTGAACAGTGTTGACTTAAGGCATGTTTCTCCGGGAAATTTTGGGGAATATTTTCTAACAAAAGATTGGTTTTATGAAAGAATTTAATGGCGCGTTGTCCTATGGGCAAAAAGAACAATCGACTGGGGCTCCCATTAACAGGGGGCCCCAGTCAATTTCTCTTTTCGCTCATAGGATAACGCGCTACTGAATGAAAGTGCAGATAAGTTGCATTTTCTAAAATATAAATTTTCGTCTATAATTTCGTATCTTCTATTATCAGGACTTATTATACTGGCTTTACATTTAATATACCAGGTATATTAAATAAAATAAAAAATTGTTTTCTGTAAAACTTTGTAGCATTATCTGTAAAGCCAGTATAATAAATCCTGATAATAGAAGATATGAAATTATAGACGAAAATTTATATTTTAGTAAGAAAAAGGACATTGAGGCATTTTAATTAATTAATTAAAGTTTTATTTATTAAGATAAATAAGATCTATTTCTCTTAAACATTTTATTACTAAAATATGAAATGAAATTTTATTTAGATGAATCATTTTATTTTTTAATTTACAACTGAAATTTATTATTTTAGCAAAACTTTTGTTATTATTTTGCTTTCAGATTCTTATTACTTCTTAGAAATGGTATTTACTATTGTCATATTTAAAAATAAAATTGATTTATTTGTAAAACTTTTTGAGTTTTATATTAAAACTGGACATTTACTTTCAACTTTACATAATTTATGAATATTAAATTTTAAAAAGCGGTTTTTAAATTATTAAATAAAAAATTAAACTTGCTAAATATTAAAACCATTAAAACCTACGCAAAATAGATGATGATGAGGTATAATACTGTATTTTTTTAACACTGATTTTAAATCCTTCCATGATTTAAATAAACAAAGATGTTTATCTATTCTACGTTTTTATTATGTAAACAAATTAATATTATAAAATATATAATTTTATTGATGATTTTGATAACAAATTATAATTATTTAACATAAATTAAAATTGTTTTGAAAATTATCTCCTATGTTATTTCGTTAAATATAGTATTTAAAATGATAATAATAATAATAAAATCGATTAAATATTTGTATGATCTGTACAAAAATGAGAAATTATTATATAATGTAAAAATTATTTTTTTTATGATTTAATGACAATTTTGAATTATGTAACGAGTCTGATTTGGGATAAGTTTATTATTTAGGTCGCTAATAACAAATAGATTTTATTTAAAGACATAAATTACAATTATATATATTATTCATTTAAATTTAGCTTGGCAATAAAAAAGAATAATTTATATCTTTACAAAAATTGCGTATAAATAAAATTGTATTCGTTCACTTGTATTATTTAATTCTACTTTATGATATGCAGATTATAAAATTTGCATTTTCCCAATTTATAAAATTTGAAAAAAAAAATATTTTTTTGACCTCAATTGTTAATATTTTTTGTTTATAAATTATTAAATATATTTATTTTCAAAATTAATTACGTTATAAATTTATATTTCGTGAAAGCATGGAATATAAAAATAATTTCTGATCCATTTAACATACTTTCTGTCGTACTTTTGAATGTTTCTATCGTAATTAACGTAAATTTATACATAAAAATTAACGGGTAACTCACTTATTTATTATAATTTTAATTAAATAAATATAGATGCGAATTCCTTATAAAAATTAAATAAATATGCCTCGAATTTTATAAATAGAATAAATTTGAGTACAGTAAATGTTTAAATTAAATATATAATCTTCTCTAAATTTAATTGATTTGATACGATATAAAATTGAAAAATAAACATACTGATTAACAATAAATTAATTTTATTTTTTAATTTCCTCCAATTAATTCCCTTCTTTCTTCTAATTTTTTCCTTACATTAAATAGAATATTTGTATTCATATTATATCCCTGATTATTCAAATTAATTATAGGAAAAAGTTGACTGATAAATCAGGTGTACAATTCAATTATCCCTGTATCACTCATCAATTTTGTTTTCTCGAGAAGATAATTGAGATTCTACTGTTTTCGATCGAACATAATTCAGATGGAATCGATTAGATTTGCGTTGATCCCATAAATGATTCACAGATTATTTACCTCATTATAAATCAATCGAGTAAAAGTTTTTCGTGAAAAAATTTCATGAATTTATTTGGAATTTCACAAAGAAATTTCATTTAAAAAATTTCAATTACTCTAATATTACATCAATAATTTTTGCACAGATTTGTAGGAAGGAGCGGTATATATTTTAAGTTTCATCTGATGTAATTTTCATTATTGATAATTTAAAGAATAACTTTTGTAAACGGCTAAGAAAATTATCTTCAAGATTTCAGTCATAAAACAGATTCAAGATTATTACTAAGGAAAAATTTTATGAAGTTTTAACAGGTTATAAACCCTCGAACATATCAATCGATAATAAATAACTCCACCCTTGTTTACTAACATTTTTCTATAGAAAATTTTGATAAGGTAACAAA